AAAAAAAAAAAAAAAAAAAAGAGGGGCGGCCAAAATTTTGTCACAATGAGAGCTCGATCGGGGGAAGTTGGGATATTTAAGCGGTCAGACTGGCAGGTATTGAGAAAATTTATTAAAAGAATCAGTAAAAAATGCAAATTTATCGGTAATCAAATTACTTTTTAAATTATATCCAACATATTTTAATTACAGTTCAGTTGATGAATTGGGCCAAAATAATAGACACTTTTTTTTAAAAAATATGATACTGTATAGATTTGTTGAAAATAATTTAACTAAACAATAAAAAAAGAGATATTTTGAATTCTCTGAAAAAAAAAAAATCCAATTTTAATTTTTTTTTTTAGGAATATTTTTTAAATTTTTTTTTTTTGTATACAATCATTTTTATTTTTCTTTTATTTTATTTTATTTTATTTTATTTTCTTTCAAATGTGTAATAATGACCCCTCAAAATAAAAAAATTAATAGTTTTATTTTTTTTATATTATTTATATATATTTTTCCTGTTGTAAAATCTAGTACTGATGAACTAGTTTGTTTAGGAAAATTATTAAATAAACTATTTCCAATACCCATTTCAGAAGTAACAACTTTATGTACAGGCGATCCTGGTTATGATTACCTAAATTATGGATTTTCAATAAAAACAACATGTATTGTCGATCTTAACTCTTTGTAAATATTTCAAATTCCAAAAAAAAATAATAAAAAAAAAATAAAAAAAATAAAAAATAAAAAAAATGACTCTAATTTTTTTTTACTTTTTTTTCACATTTTAATTATTAGGAAAATTGCGTCCCATGAAAAAAATAGCATTATAATAACCTATGATGATTTAAAATGTTTTGAAATAGGTTTATATGAAATGTTGGTAGATATAAAGACTCTTTATTAATAACATTATTATATACTAATTTATTATTATCTTAATATAGACATTTAAGTAATTTATATTTAGATATAGATGCTTTAGGTACCACTGATGACAAAAGAGTAGCTACTAAAATTTATTTGGATGATTGTACTTTTAAAGATCAAAGAATTTCATCAATCGGAAACTCAATACCAACAGCAACAGAACATTTGAGTATTGCAGTTACCGATACTTCAAATTTACTTTTTATTCCATTCTCTTCTTTAAAATATTTGAAAATATTGTAAGTAAACCCATATTTCTTTACACTAACCAGATAATACCCAAAAAGCATTGTATACTAACATTTTTAAAGTATTCTTGCATATAAAAATATTGAACAATATTTCCCAAAAATAGAAAATGACCTCTCAACTTCAGATGAAACAAATTTCTATAATGTGTATGTATTTTTATTAAATTTCAATTCTTTATTATTAAATTAGTATTAATATTTTTAATATTATTAGAATAATAGATTCAAATGAAATCCCATCATTTTTAAATATGAAAATACAAAATTTGGAATTATCATTAAAAATTTACAATACAATTCCATCTTTTGACAACTTAGATACCCTAGAAAGTGTCGATTCATTCAATTTTATTTTTAATGGTGAAATAGAATACCCTAATGCCTTAGGTTCACCAAATAATAAAATTAGAGTGTTAGATTTAAAAGGCTTATTTAGTCCACCTTCACAAGCTTTAACCCTTCCAAGTGATATTGAAGAGTTTACAATTTCCAACTCTCCATCATTTAATAACAAAGGTTTATTCCCATTTGCATCACTCTCAAATATTTTAACCAAGATTTCAATTGGAAATCTTGGTTTAACTAAATATCCGATGGATTTAATTCCCCCAACTGTTAAAACTATGTATGTGTAGGAATTTATTAAAATGATATATTTTGTAAAAATTTTAATTAATAATCAAATCTTTTTTATAATAGAATTTTATATCAAAATAACATAGGATCTCCATTACCAGATATAGAAAAGTTTTATAAACTTAGTTCATTTTCTTTAACCAATTCGAAAATGATTGGATCAATTCCAGAGAATTACTGTAAATTAGATTTTTTACTATTAGAAAATAACAACTTGGAAGGTGAATGGAATCAATGTTTTGCTTGCTATCAAGAACATTACAGTGATTCTTCTTTTAGTGGTAACCCAAAACTAATTAAAAATGATTGCAGTATGTATTATTATCAGTAATTTCAAAATTTTTTTTTAATTCTAAAAAAAAATAAACAAATACTAATAATTTTTAATATTACAGAACCAGGATCAATTGTACCATATATAACATATAATCAAGATAACTATATTTTAAGTTTAAGAGGAAAAAATCTTGGTATAGATACACCAGTTATTAAAGAAAATCTTTCAATAAAACTGGAAACTATTGTACCTCAGAGTCATTTTGAAGTTTTTTGGGACCCAAGGGTATATGGAGTTTTACCAAATATTATTAATGTTATGCTAGGCAATCATGAATTTATTTTGGCAACCTCGCCATTAGTACCAGAAATATTAAGTATAACGAAATCAGGAAATCAGTTTGTTTTTAAAGGAATACAGTTTTCATATGATTTAGATGATATCATAATTAAAATTTCTGGAGTAAAGTGCTCAAATACATACATAGATTTTAATACCCTCAATTGTCAATTTTCAGCAACGGATCAATTAAAAATAGGTCAAGATATTCCCTCGACTATCCAAAACATCAAACTAACAACCATATCTATGTTTACAGTAAATACAGCTCAAGATAAAACAACAATTATTAAAACCTGTAGTTCTTGTAATGAGGGCTCTGGCAATGGTTTATGCTCAAGTACAACTGGTAAATGTATATGTAGCCAATACTATACAGGAGAATCCTGTAATTTACCAAATCAATTTTTAACATCAGCTTCATCAGCATTGTCATCGGGCGGTTTAGTTAATTTATATGGTTGGTTTGGATCACCAAATGAAGGTTTGACAATTACAATTGGTTCTTTAAATTGTCAAATACATTATTATAATACAACTTTTGCAAATTGTACTATTGGTGCAGGATCAGGTACTAAATCAATAAAGATTATTCAAAACAATCAAGAATGGATTGGTGAAAATATGTTCCACTATACAGAAACAACATATAGATGTCCAAAAGACTGTTCTTTAAATGGAGTTGCAAATGGTGAATGCAATAGCTCTTCAGGTCAATGTAAATGTTTTATTGGTTGGGGTGGGTATGACTGTAATTCAAAATCGACAACTGGAGGTTCGACATCAACTAGTTCGGGATCATCTACACCAACACCAACAAAATCACCAGAAATTGAAATCCCTGAATCAAATACAACCATCAATAATGGTTCAAGTTCTATTAGCAATCAACAAACAACTTACGAAATATCAATTTTATCACTAATTGAATATGATGTCACTGATGCAATAGTTATTACACATAACCTAACTAACAAATGGATCAGCATAGGAGATACTGATAAGAACATTCATAAATTCAATCAAAATATTTCAGAAACATGCAGAATAACATATATTATTGAAGATATCAAAGAATCGAGAGATTATGAATTTGCAGGTTTACAATTAACTTTAGAAAAAGATTCAATTAAAATAACAGTAAACATTGAAAACTATCCATTTACAAGTGTATTAAATAAATTACAACTCAGATTAGAATCTATAGTAGGTGATAATGGTGCAAATATTGAAAATAATCAATGCAACAATAAAGAAACGTCTATCAATAAAGACTTATTAGATAATAATCAATTATTAAACTATATTACAATTTCAAAAAATGAAAAAGTATTATATGGTAGATTTATAAACAGAGTATTAAGTGATCACAGACAATCATTTATTACAACATCATTAATTTCAAATACCACAACAACATCAGCAAATAAAGAATCATTTATTATTGGATTAAATTTACCATTTTTCACAGAATCATTAAGCATCGATCCTGATTTTTCAGTACTAGTATCCCCATCGTTCAAGAAATGCAAATCAAATGATCGTGCAAAGTGGGTTTTACCTGTTGCCATTGTTGTACCTTGTGTTGCTGTTGCCACCATTATAATAATAAGTGCCATTATTTACAAAAAAAATCGTACCACAGTTTTATTGGTTAAAAATAAATTCAAACTAAGGGCATTACCAAAAAAAGAATAAAAGTGATCTTTATATGCCAAACAAAGCCTCAAGAAACTAATAAATAAAAACAAAATAATATTTTTTCATTCCAAAATTATTAATTATTATAATAACCATTTGATTTTTTATTAATATCCAAAGAAATTTATAAATAATTAAAATTCTATTCTTGTCGTATTTTTTTATTCTTGTCATATTTTTTATTTTTTTATTAAATTTCCAGGTTGGTGAGTCTGGTAACCGCCCACAAAATTTTAATTTTTTTATTTTTTATTTTTTAAAATATAATTTTTGTTTTTTTAATTATTTTCATTTTTTCTTTGCAAATTATGAATTTTCTCTTTTTTTTTTTATTTTTAACAAATAATGAAATTAAACATTTTTTTATTATTTATTTTTTTAGTTAATATTAGTTTTGTAAAATCATTACAGGATGAAGATTGCTTAAAAGCATTATTGGCCAAATTATTCAATATAAATGATGTTGAATTTTGTGGAAACCCAGTTATTACAAGGGACTATTATTATGAAAGTAAATGTTCAGATTCCAATACAAAAATTCTTGAAAAACTGTATGTTTTATTTCTATTTATTTTATAAAATTTTATATTAATTTATTTTTATTTTTTTATTTTTTTAAATTTTAGATCTATCAAAGGGAATGTACCCACTCCCAGTAATCCATCCCCTCCATCTTTAGTATATGGTGATTTAAGCTGCTTTGAAAATATTAATCAATTGTAACTATAATTATAATAATAAATAATCGAAGAAAATTTAAATATTAATTTTTTTTTTTTTTATAAAATAGAAATTTATCATTAATAGCAATAAAAAAAGATGCACTAGGTGCAGATGATCAAAAAAATGTTGCAAAACAAATTATTTTAACCTCGTGTATTTTTGATGATGGAATAATTGTATCTGAAGGCTCTATTTTGCCAAAAGGTCAATTCTATTTAGAAATTTTTATAGATTCATTCTCAAACTTTAAAGAATTACGTTTTAGATCTATTAAATACATAACTTCTTTGTAATTATCTTTAAAAATAATATTTAAGACAATATAAACAAATATTAATATATTTTCTTCACCATTTATTTAGGGAAATTAAAATTGTTGAAAATATAAAATTAAATAACTACCCAAAATATATAAATGATTTAGAAGGTTTAGAAACCAATTTTATTTATATGTAAGCATTTTCAACATAAAGTTATTTTTTTTAAATTAAAAATATATTTAATTAATATTTCATTTTTAGTAATTTGTATTCAAATGCTGTCCCAAAATTAACAGATCTAAAGATATTTAATTTCTATTTAAAGATTATTGGGGATTTATCCTCGGAGTCAATTGATAATTTAGGTACTTTAAATCAAGTTGAACTATTCACATTTTCAAATGATAAAGAAATTGAATTTCCCAAACAAATATTTTCACCAAATAATAAATTCAACCAACTATCTCTAGTACCTAAATTTAAACCTCCAACAGAATACATAACCTTACCAAAAACAATACTTGTATTTCTATTCATAGCAGAAAATCCAACATTCAATATCAATGGAAAACTTCCATTTATTTTCCCAGATAATATGGTTTATTTGTCTTTAAATAACTTAGGTCTTGTTGAATTTCCAATTTTACCAAAAGATATTAATACATTGTATGTATATAATAAATATATTAAAAAATATTTTATATTAATTTTTTTTTTTGTTTATTTTTAAAAAAAGAATAATTGTTGGTAATAATTTTGTTATAAATGGTCCAAAACCATTACCAGATCTTTCATCTTATAAAAGTCTGGCACAAGTTCAACTTACTAATACTGGTTTCAGTGGACCAATTCCTGAAAGCTATTGTTTGTTTGTAAACTATTTATCAAATAATAATTTAAATGGTAAGTTCACTGTATAAAATAATAATAAAAAATTAACTGTTTTTTATTAAACCAATTACTAATTTAATATTTTTAATAAAGGAAAACTTCCAATGTGCAAATCTTGTTATTTAAATCCATATTTTGATGACTATAGAAATAATCCTAATTTAGATTATGGAGTTTGTGGTATGTAGAAAATAAAACTATTATTATTATATTTTTATTTTTTTAAAAACATTATTATATTTACTAATTATTTTTATTAAAAAGACGAAAGTTCGATCATTCCTAATTTCGATATATCTTTTGAAAAAGAAATAACTATATATGGAGAAAATATCGGGTTGAGTTTACCCCAAATTTTCAATTATCCAATTGCATTTTCAACTATCAAAGGAAACTCAATGTTTAAAGGAAAATGGAATGATATGTGGGGCCAAATTCCAGATACTGTAGTAGTTTCTTTATCGCCAAGAAATTTTACATTTAATACAAAAAACTTATTACCATCATTAAATAATATTACAAAATCAAATCTCCAATTTATTTTTGAAGGTTCAAACTTTTCATATAACAAAAATGATTTTGAAATTAAAATTGCAAATGAAATTTGTTTAATTTCATCGATAACATTTAATAAAATCATTTGTAACTTCCCAAATCAAAAAGTATTACCTGTCAAAAATGATGTCCCAACAACTATTAAGAATACTAAATCTGGAGAATTCATTTCATTTACTATTAATACACTCGAAGATAAAACAACAGTTGCAAAAGAATGCCCAAATCAATGTATTGAGGGTATTTGTTCAATTAACACTGGTACATGCATATGCAATCCGGGCTATAGTGGTGAAACATGTAGTCCCATACCATGTAAATCAAACTGTGGTACTCAAGAAGGTAGAGGCGAATGTAATGGTAAAGTAGGTGTATGTGTTTGTAATCTAAAATGGAAAGGTGAGTCTTGTGAAATACCAAGTCAATTTTTAACATCAGCTTCATCAACATTGTCATCGGGCGGTTTAGTTAATTTATATGGTTGGTTTGGATCACCAAATGAAGGTTTGACAATTACAATTGGTTCTTTAAATTGTCAAATACATTATTATAATACAACTTTTGCAAATTGTACTATTGGTGCAGGATCAGGTACTAAATCAATAAAGATTATTCAAAACAATCAAGAATGGATTGGTGAAAATATGTTCCACTATACAGAAACAACATATAGATGTCCAAAAGACTGTTCTTTAAATGGAGTTGCAAATGGTGAATGCAATAGCTCTTCAGGTCAATGTAAATGTTTTATTGGTTGGGGTGGATATGACTGTAATTCAAAATCGACAACTGGAGGTTCGACATCAACTAGTTCGGGATCATCTACACCAACACCAACAAAATCACCAGAAATTGAAATCCCTGAATCAAATACAACCATCAATAATGGTTCAAGTTCTATTAGTAATCAACAAACAACTTACGAAATATCAATTTTATCACTAATTGAATATGATGTCACTGATACAATAGTTATTACACATAACCTAACTAACAAATGGATCAGCATAGGAGATACTGATAAGAATATTCATAAATTCAATCAAAATATTTCAGAAACATGCAGAATAACATATATTATTGAAGATATCAAAGAATCGAGAGATTATGAATTTGCAGGTTTACAATTAACTTTAGAAAAAGATTCAATTAAAATAACAGTAAACATCGACAACTATCCATTTACAAGTGCATTAAATAAATTACAACTCAGATTAGAATCTTTAGTAGGTGATAATGGTGCAAATTTCGAAAATAATCAATGCAACAATAAAGAAACGTCTATTGATAAAGACTTATTAGATAATAATCAATTATTAAACTATATTACAATTTCAAAAAATGAAAAAGTATTATATGGTAGATTTATAAACAGAGTATTAAGTGATCACAGACAATCATTTATTACAACATCATTAATTTCAAATACCACAACAACATCAGCAAATAAAGAATCATTTATTATTGGATTAAATTTACCATATTTCACAGAATCATTAAGCATCGATCCTGATTTTTCAGTACTAGTATCCCCATCGTTCAAGAAATGCAAATCAAATGATCGTGCTAAATGGGTTTTACCTGTTGCCATTGTTGTACCTTGTGTTGCAGTTTCTGCCATTATAATAACAAGTTCTATTTTATTCAAAAAAAACCGAACAACTCTATTACTAGCCAAAAACAAACTAGTGTCACAATTCAAAACACAAGAACTATATATGCCAAGAGAAGAGGAATTAAAATCAAATAATTTGTAAATAAAAATAAAATTGGGTCTTTATTTTTTTTTTTAAAAATTTTAATGACATACATATAATAAAGAACTCTGCAAAACTAAGGGGTGAATAGAAAATGTTATTTCCTAATTTATATTATTTAATTAATTTGAACTCCTATTTTAAATGATCAAACCAAATAAGTAGTTAAAAGAAATTATAGGAAAAATATTTAATACCAGAATCAATATCCCAACTTATAAAAAACAATCCTCCATAATATGCTGAATTTATTTAAATAAATAAAATAAATAAACAAATAATACTATTGTCATAAATTACAAATTCTTTATTTCTTTTTTTTTTTCTTTTTTTTTTTATGTTTATTTTTCTTTATTGTTTAAATATTAATTAATAAAATTATTTGAATAATAAAAATTAAAATTAAATACCTTGAAATATTATTTTTTAAAGAGTAGGAATTATTATTATTGTTATTGTTGTTTCCAAAATGAGGTTCTGAACCAATAAAATCTACTCTAAAAGTTAAACCTCTTTTACCGCCAATTATCATTTGAGCTGCTGAATTTAATTGAAATAGTTGTGGGTTTATCATTGTGCAATCTATGAAACCAAATGTTGCCTTCTTTACTTGACAAATTTCACCATCTGATGTTATTTTTATATCAGTTGCATTATATGTGAAAAAACGACCTTGAATATATAAATCTTTGCCACTTTTACGAATACTTTTAAATTCTGGTTTATGATTTTCATCAGTTGCTAAAAAGAAATCCTTATTATGAATCTCTAAAAAGAGTATATCTGGAAGTGGAACATTAGTTTCTAACCATTTGGATTTAAATTCTTTAGTTACATTATTATACACCCAATTTAATTTTGGTGTATTCGATGTAAAACTTTGATTCCCTAACCCAATACCATATAGTGTAAATTCTTTTAATGTTGAATCATATTTTAAATTTGGTATAATTAAAACATCTTCATTTTCTGTAATATTTATTTGCTCCTCACTCTTTGTATTATTATTTTTACTTTTGCTACTATTGCTGTTACTACTTGTATTATCTAAACTATCTAAAAATATAATTTTTAAAATAAATTAATATGATGGTTTTTAAAACCATAATAAAAATGATTTTTCATTTTTTTTTTTTTTTTACCCTGGGAATGTATAAATGATATATTTAAAGAAATTATTAAAACTGTTATTAAAAAAATATAAAAAACTTTCATTATATTATTTTGATTTATTGTTTTTTAGTATTAAGTTTGTTTTTTTTTTTTTGTTTAAATAAATTTTTTTTAAATATTATTTTTAAAAAAAAAAATATTAAAATTATTTTATTTTTATTATAATGTTTAATTTAATATTACAATTAAAAAAATAATAAAATAATAATAGTATTAATTTTTTACTTAAGTTCTATCCTTGTTTTTTTTTTTTTATTTTATGATTTAAAAATTATTATTTATTATTATTTTTTTTTGGTTAATTCTCTTAATTGTTATTATGTTGTTAATTTAACAAATATAAGTTTTTTTTTTTTTTTTTTTGGCGAGAGTGTTGTGTGTGTTTAATAAATAATATTTAAATTGTTCTTCAAAAAGATTTATTATTATTATTATTATGTATAAAACATTTATATCTATTTACTTTATATATACATGTTTTATCCACACCAATATCCCCCATCAAATTCCTAAAAAAATAAATTATTATTATTATTATTTTTATTATTTTTTTTTTTAAAAGTGGTGTGTTACTTAAATTTATCAAAATTGCAAATAATACATCACATAAAAATATTTATTTAAAATATAAAAATAAATTAGATTATTAACATCACAATCATTCAATCGAAATTAAAAAAAAAATAAAAAAATAAAAATAAACAAATAATATTTATTAACCTTTTATATACAGAATTTATTTTTTACAAAATTTTAATATATTTTATGGCAATCATTCACTAATATTAACACATCATAACCACTATTATCATATAATTTTTCCATTAAAAAAAAATCATTTTATTTTTATAATCAATAATATTTAAAATAGCTTTTATATCTTTATTTTTTTGATTTCACTAAAATAATAATAACAATAATAGTAATAAATCTTATATATGCATATAAAAGTTTAACGAATAATTATGCCCAGTGAAAAAAAAGATTTTTTTTTTTTTTTTGGATTGTGTAAAAAGACAAAAATAATTTTTTTTTTTTTATATATTTTAGACAAAAGTTATTTACATAAAATAAGAATCAAAATTGTTTTAAATAAAAGTGATCATCATGATTTTAAAATGTGTTACATATTTACCTAAATATCTAAGAGGGGTTACAAAAATAATAATATCTTTCAAAATGTGTGATAACATACAATGATAAACATAAACCTTATATAGAGATGTTTCACATAAAAAAAATAAAATTTTCCCCAAAAAAAATTAAAAAAAAATTTAAAAAAAAAAAAAAAAATAAAAAAAAATAATTTTTTTTATATTAAAAATTTAAAAAAAAAAAAAAAAAAAAATAAACACAATCTCTGTTAAAAAAAAAAAAACCCCCACACATTAATACTTTTCAAATTATACAAAACCCCTATATATATATATTTATTTGTTTATTTGTTTTATATTTTTTATTTTGATTTGTGTTTATTTTAAAAATAATAATATACTTTAGTTAATCAATAATCACAAGATTTAAACAAAAAATATATAGATCATAAAGATAGAGATTGATTTTATCGACAATAGTAATAACAATAATAGATAAAATAATAACTTTTGTTTATTTAAAAGAAATTTTATAAAAAAAAACAAAAAAAAAAAACAAAAAAAAAAATGATAATTGTGAAATTTTTATCAATAATATTTATATTATTAAATATATTTATTTTTGAAAATGTACAATCACAAACTATTACAAATTTTGTTAGTAACCCAGATATATCACAACTACAATATGATCAATCCTATTTAAGAGTTATATCAAATGTTCCACAAGAAATTAGTCCAAATACCACCCTTCATTTTGAATATGTTTATGATGCTTGTGTATCATGTAGCTATCAACTATTGGTCGAATTAAAGTATATACATAAACTATAAATAATTATAGACTCTTTATAAAATACTAATACTAATACTAATTTTATATATAGCTCCACAAATACAAATTATTTTATTATGCCAAGTACATTTGGTTATAAATTTAATGTATCCATTCTAAACAATGGAGTTAATACAAGATTTATGTATTTATCTTTTTATCAAAAATTTAATGAATATGGCGTTTATGATTTAAGTGTTAATATTTCATCAGTAAATAAAACAACAAAGTACGTATACCTTATAACATTTCAATAACAATATTTAATACCATATATTAACCATTCTTTTTAGGAGATTATTTCATTCCGTAAATATTTTATCAAAAGAATATAACCCAAACATACCAATTGCAGTAATGTTTTCAATATTAACCGCTATGGCAATAGTTTGGCCAATGATATTATACCTCTATAAGAGATCAAAGAGAGATTCTTTAGAATATCAATTAATATCAAGTGTGGAAAGAGAAAATAATAAGAAAAAGGATAGATTAAAATCATTGGATGTTTTTAGAGGGTTTTCAATTACAATTATGATTTTTGTAAACTATGGCGGCGGTGGATATTGGTTTTTCAATCATAGCTATTGGAATGGTTTAACTGTTGCTGATTTGGTATTCCCATGGTTCGTTTTTATTATGGGCATTGCAATGCCATTATCTTTTAATGCTATGGAAAGACGTGGAACCACCAAACTAGTTATCGTTCAAAAGCTAGTTCGTAGATCAGCTATACTGTTTGCCTTAGGTTTGTTTATCAATAATGGTGTCAATTTACAACATTGGAGAATTTTAGGTGTTTTACAACGTTTTGCAATTTCTTATTTAATTGTTGGTCTTATAATGCTTTTTGTACCACTCTGGAGATTTAGACCATCACCATCAGATATAAATTTAAATATAGATCAACAACAGCATGTCATTGCACCACTAGATTTCAATATTGACCCAGCCCAACAACAATCAATAAATAACAATAATAATAATAATAATAATAACAATAGTAGTGATAAAATATATAGCGGTAAAAACAATAGTTTTATTAATAATTATTTAGCTGATTTGGCACCATATTGGATACAATGGCTTGTTGCATTGCTATTGCTTGCTGGTTGGTTTTTATTAATGTTTTTAGTTCCAGTACCAGGATGTCCAAAAGGCTATTTAGGTCCAGGTGGAATTGGTGATAATTCATTATACCCAAATTGTACTGGTGGAGCTGCTCGTTTAATCGATATGAAGATCTTTACAAACAACCACATATTCCAATCTCCAACATGTCAAGATATCTATAAAACATCATCATATGATCCAGAGGGTACAGTTGGCTACTTAACTTCAATTTTCATATGCTTCATTGGTGTTCAAGCTGGAAGAATTATTTTAATTTACAAATCAAATAGATCACGTTTAATTCGTTGGATGGTTTGGTCTGCTGTCTGCTGTGGTATAGCAGCTGGCCTCTGCGGTCTTTCCCAAAATGATGGTGTTATCCCTATAAATAAAAATCTATGGTCTCCATCATTTGTCTTCTTAATGGCTGGTTTTGGTTTCTTTGTGCTCACAATCATGTTTATAGTCATAGATATTAAAAAAATTTGGAACGGTTCCCCATTCATCTATGTAGGTATGAACCCTATTACAATTTACTGTGGCCATGAAATTTTAGGTGGTTATTTCCCATTCTCTTTCAGCGTCGAATATCAAACCCACTCTCTATATTTACTTTCAAATTGTATTGGTGTAGGTTGTTGGCTATTAATTGCTTATCTAATGTTTTTAAATAAAGTATTTATTAATATTTAATAAATATACAAAATAAATAAATAAAAAATTAATAAATTTATGAATATAAAAATATAATTCCAAATGTTGATGCCCTATTCCAAAATATATTTTTATACTAAAAAATTGATGGAATTTTGGACAATGAATAAATATCTGATTGATTGTCGTTGATTATTAAAAAAAAAAAAAAATATCTTTTACGAGAATTTTTGAATTAAATTTTATTTTTTTTTTTTTTTTCTAAATTTTAAATATTTTTTTCTAAAATTTAAAAAAAATATTTTTTTTATTTTTTTTTTTTTATTTCTTTTTAATATTTATCAAAATACCCCCAAAAAAAAGATAAATCCTTTATTATTATAATGATAACTCAAAATAATAATGAAAATATAACTAGCAACAATAACTTTAATATTTTTATAACTTTACAATCATTAATATCATCAAATGATTTAATTAATACAGCATGGGAAAAAGATTATATTAATATAAATACACAAATAAATGAAATTAATAATCAAATTATAAACAATAGTGATAATAACAATAAAAACAATACCTGTAACATTAATAGCAATAATAACAATAACAATAATAATATAGATAATTACTTTGCTTATGAAAATTCAATAGAATTTATAATATCTTTTATATTACAAAAACTTATAATTTTTGGTGATACCGTAGAATTTACTGCTGTTGGTGTATTTTATAATCCTCAAGGTATGAAACCATCCATTTCAATCAGTGACTATGTAAAGAGATTAGTTCAGTATTTAGGGTGCAGCAAATCATGCTTCATAATTGCATTAATTTATTTAGACCGTATTGTAAAAGAAAAACAAGTTCACATCAATTCGTACAACATTCATAGACTTTATTTCTCAAGTATACTTGTATCAATTAAATTTTATGATGATTATTTTTATCCATTAGAAATCTATTCAAGAGTTGGTGGTGTCTCAATTCAAGAAACAAATAAAATGGAAAGAGGTTTATTGGAACTATTAAATTTTAATGTTAATATTTCTTTAGGTGAATACAACGAATATCTCTACTATTTAGATAAGAAGGGCTATATAAAGCAGGAAATTGATAATCAACAATCCGATGTAGAAGATGAAGACGAGGATTATGATGAAGAAAATGAAGATGATACCGAAGAAGAAGGGTATCTAAGTGAAAACTATAATGAAAATCATTATGAAGTCAATGATTTTATTCACAATAATGGCTTTAACTCTATGTCACCTTCATTATCTCTAGATTCCTCCTCACCCCAACTATTTAATAATAATAATAATAATAATAATAATAATAATAATAATAATAATAATAATACCCAAATCAATCGTAGTAATAGTAGCGGAATTCACCATATTGAAAAACCACATAAAAAGTCAAATGCAATTCATAACTCTGATTCCCTGTTAATAGTAAATAAAAACCATCAAAATAGCAATGATCAAACATCATCCTCCTGTAATATTAGTAGCCATAACCATAACAAACCATCAAATAAAAGTAGTAACAGCCTATCAAGTTCTAAAGCAATCACCATTGAAACCAAATTTAAAAATAGTTATATTTCATTAAGTCAATCATTAGATAGTAAGGATATATTTTTCAAATCAAAGAAATTTCCAACACAACTATCAATTTCACCAAATCTAAAATCAAAATTTCAGGGATCACGTATTAATAACGGTAGACCGCTAAGTGATCACTTATCATCATCAATTATTATAAAGCAACATCAACAACAACAAGAAACTGATAATAAATAAATTTTAATATTATTAATATATTATTTTAAATATTAAAATATTTTTTTAAGGTCAAAACACAACTTTTTAAGCCCCATTTAATTTTTAAATAGTATCTTTTTAAAAAATTCTATTTTTGTCAGAACATCAAATATGTATTTTATATTATTGATCGATCTATAAAAAAAAAAAGTTTTATTTTTAAATTAAACTATGAATTTAAAAACAAAATAAAACTAAAACCCAACCAATTTTTTTTTTTATGCGAGATACTAATTTAAAATTTAGACTTTTCTTTTAAAAATATTAATAGATGCTTTTTTTCTTTTTGTTTGTTTGTTCTTTGCAAAATATTTTTAAAAATTAAATATCTTTTAAAAAAAAAATAATCGTTGAATTAGAAATTATGTGAAAGTATTGAAAAAAAAAATTTGCAAATTTTTTTTGCGATTTTTTTAAAAAAGTCGTGGTATTAAAAAATATTAATAATCATAAAAATAACTATGGTATTAATAATATTTATTATGTGTAAATATTTTTTATTTTAATTTATTAATTCAAAATAATTTTTATTTTTTATATAGTTTTAATTTTTCAAATTTTAATAGTTTTATATTTTTTTTATTTTTTTTATTTTTTTTATTTTTTTTATTTTTTTTTTTTTTATTCATATACATTGCACCTGAACATTCTCTTAAAAAAAAAATAATAAATGAATAAATGAATAAATAAATAAATTTAAAAAAAAAATTGGTTAAAAGAATTATTTTTGTTCAAGAAATAATTATGAGTTTATGAAAAGAAAACTCTCAATTCAATCGTGTTCCTTTGGTTTTTATTGATAATACACAAAAAAAATATTTTTATAATAATAAATTTTTTAATCAAAATCATTTATTTTTAATTTTTTTAAATTTTTTATTTTCATATGTTCCAGAAAATAGGAACTAAAACTTTTTTTTGAAATAATTTTTTTTTTTTTTCTTTGATATTTTTTATAAATAGAAGCAAAAAAAAAAACTTTAAAATAATTTTTTTTTTTTTTAAAAGTTTTTTTTTTATTTTTTTCATTATTTATTAATTTATTTTTTATTTTTTTTTATTTATATCCCAAAGAAAAAAAAAATCAAAACTTTTTTTTTTTTTATAAGCTTGTCAAAATATAAAAATAAAAATATAAAAATAAAATATAAAATCAAACACACACAGGCCACCACACTTATCTCACAAATTTGTATATACGTTTTTAATATTTTTTTTTTTTTTTCATTTTTTTTTATTAAATTATTTATATTCCAAAGATTATTTAATATTATTTACTATACACATTAATTTTTATAATAACTAAAATAAAAAAATTTCATATTGTATATATATTTCACAACATTAGCACTAATAATATCATAAATAAATAAAAAATAAAATAAAATAAAATAAAAAATGGAAAAAGAAATCTTAAATTTCCTAAATGAAGGTATCCAATCGAAGGATAATATTTTTATTTTATCAAATGTAAATAAAACCAGTAAATTAGAAGAGATGGTTTCAGGCCAACTCTTAAGAAAATGTTCAAAATGGTCAGTTTCGGATTTTAAAAAAGGAGTAGAACAATTTATTTCAGAGAAATCATTAAATGCAAATCAAATTATTAGTACAGTCAATTCTGTTACTATTTTTATGATTTCAAAGAAATTACAAATTAATGGTAATATTAATATATAGATTTATATATATAAATTTATATATCATTATATCTTTTTAGCTATTAATTATTAATACAAATTATTTTTTTATATAGAAATGGAGGAATGGACTAAAAATAAAAATTATGTATTAAGAGCATTTTCAACATGTTTCTTTATTAAATACTATTTCGAAAGTGAACAAAAATTCACAGACCTTTATGAAACTTTGGTCACATTAGAAACTTTTGACCTTGTTAAATTTTATTCAATCCAAACCATTTCATCATTAGATATTATTGGTAATTATAAAAATGAAATCTTCGAAATTTTAGTTAATGTTTGTATCATTGTATTTTATTATAGATTACGTATAGACCCTATATTAATAAGTTTATTTTATTTTATATTTTATATTTTTATAATTTTTTATAGTATTTAGATTTATATAAGGATCTCGATAACGGTGATGGAGAAATTGCAATTAAAACAATTAAAGTATTTTTATCAAGAGTTGGTTTAATTATTGGTCAAGATGAAAAAGGATTTATTGATCAAGCACATGATAAAACACCATTTGACCTTTTAATGAAGGTATCATCAGTAGATATGATTTCAAAGACCACCCAAAACATGGCTTGTATCATTTCTTTATCTTTAAGTATTTTCAATGGTAACCAATCATTATGCGACGAAAGAAAACAATTATTATCAAATCATTTAGTCAAGAATCTCACATACTATTTACCAGTACTTTGCCAAAGAGGTTTAACAGAAAAAGGTTGTTACTTTATGTCAATTTGCCGTTTCTTAACTGAAGCTGACCAAACCGAATATTATAAACAAAATATTGAAGTCATAAGGTAAGTTATAGTTTAGTTTATTTCATTTAAATAAACCTTTGATATTTATTAATAATCAATTATAAAATATTTAGAAAAATGGCAAAAGAATCATACGATAGAAATAAATTTGACTTTTTATTCCGTGAAAATAAAGTTTTAAGTTTATATCTTCAAGATTTTAGTGATGATGTCATCGAGTTTTTAAATCATTATATTCAATCGTGCGATAAAGAAGAGGTTTCAACCGATTTCCTCAAATTATTCCACTCTGTTTTAAGAAATGGCTCATCAAATGAATGGGTCAATAAGTATTACCCAGTTTTATTAGAATACATAAATTTATTCGAACCAAACGAAGATTTCTTTACACTCGATGAAACTCCAGAGCTCTTTTATATCTACACCTCTATTGATAAAGAAGAACGTTCAAGAGTTACCAGACTATTGGATATACACGAAACAGCTATTTCAAATGAAATCCTTGTTTGTTTAGACAGTGGCGACCTCGACGATATCTTAGAACCAATGGAATACTATTTACAATTAATGCAAGAATGCCCAGAAGAATGTAAAACAATCTACATGAACACTATTATGAACCATCTCTCATCTTACTATGTTATCCTTTTCGAAGATTTTGAAGGTGGCGAAGGCGGTTTCTACAACGAATATAAAGATGAAGATAAAGAAACTATCGATAAATTATTTGACAATTTCCTCAAATTAAAATCCCAAACATGCACAACAAAAGAATCCAAGCGCCAATTCTTTAAAGACTTTGTAACCCAAGAGTCTAAATACTGCCCTTTATTTAAATTGTACTTTGAACTTTAATTTATTTATAAATAAAATAAAATAAAAAAAAAAAAAAAAATTAGTTTTTAGAAAACTTGTTTTGTTAATAATAATAAGGTTGCATTGTAATAAAATTAAATAAATAAAATAAAATTGTAGTTTTAGTTTTTATAAAGAAAATATTTTATTTCTTTTTTATAAATAAATCATGATTTTTGTTTAAATGTACAATTTGTTAATATAAATAGATTGATTTGGTTTAAGCTTTTTCGGCCCCTTCTTTTCCATTTGGCATGTATAATTCACCTTTATCTTTTCTTGATAGTGATTTTAAAGAAAATTTATATTTGTCTTTAGCCATTAAAATAGTCATACGATGTTTTCTATATAAATAAGATACAATAATAATAAGAGCAGCAACTGTAACACATGGAACTACGATGGCAACAGGTAGTACCCAGGCAGCACGGGTCTTTTTACAATCTGAGAAATTTGGAGAAACTAATACAGAGAAATCTAAAATCGTGTAAAGAAAAAATATTAGAATTTGAGATAGAGTTTCAGTTTATTTTTTTAAATGTTTTGCTTACCTGGATCTATTAAACATTCTTCTACACAATGAGGAAGTTCAATACCAACAATTAATGTATCACTTGAAGTTGAAACAGCCTTTGTTTTCATAAATGTTGGTCTTCCATCACTTATGGCTCTATTAACAAATCTTCCAGTTAAGACCTTTTGGTTTTTAGTGATACTAACATAGTTTAATAATTGATTTTTATCCAATTCATCTGTTGAAAAATTTGTATCTCCAGAGTTACAATCGTTACCATTTTGATTAACACTAACTTTTGATCTAAATTGAAGTTGAATGGTATTGAAAACACTCTCGTATTGATAGTTTTTAATGGACACAGAAATTTTAATTGAGCCCTCTTTAAGTTCTAGTGAAAGGCCTGCAAATTCATAATCTCTATCTTGTTTAACTTCTTCGATGGTATATGTAATAGTTGATACATTGTTTTCGCCAATATATTGGTAATAAACGTATTTGGTTTCTGTGGTTAGGTTGTTTATAGGGATCCATTTTGAATTTGTTAAATTATATGATTTTGTTAAGCTGCCATAAAGATCATATTCTTCGAGATTTGAAATTAATATTTCATATGCTAGTTTATCATCGTTGATAATTGCAGAGCCATCATTAATAGTGGTATTAGTATTGGTTTGTTTGTTTTTACAATCAAAACCAGACCAACCTTCGTTACATGTGCATAAGCCTGTAGCTGTGTTACATTTACCATTTGATCCACAGTCATTTGAGCATTTCATACTTCCAGAATAGTGGAATTTATCTGTACCAGTCCATACAATACCATTTTGTGTAATTGAAATGTCATGGGTTCCTTCGCCTGGGGGAGCTGTGCATACAATGGTTTTGTTATTAACTTCTTTTATTGGGGCTTTAATTCCTTTAATTAATATCATAAGGGTATCATGGATTTCGCCGAACCAACCGATGATGGTTACATCTCCACCTTGTATTGGTGGTGAGGATATAGAGGTTGCATAAATTGAGGCAAAGCCACAATTAGGAGTATCATATAGCGGTATACAGGCACAAATACCTGTAACATTGTTGCAACTACCTTGACCTAAAGAAATACTGCAATTTGAAGTGCATTCTTTGTAGGTTATACTACAATCACCCGATTGCCAATTTGAAGTACAGTGACATTGACCTATATCTGTGTAGCATAAGCCACCATTTAGACATGTTTTTTGGCAATAGGTAACATCTTGACTTAAAGCACTACTAGAGTCAAATGTAATTTGAGAAGAAAGATCCAGAACTTTAATAACTACAGGAACATTGGCGCCGGTTGGGAAAACTTCAGCGGAAGAGCACTCTATTGAATCAAATTTAGCCAATGAGACCACACAGTCAATATCAGAACCAACAGTAACTTTTATTTCACTTGGGTTATATGAAAAGAATTCACCATTAATTGTTAAACCTTTATTATTACTATTTTTTGTTATAGTTTTGGCAAATGGATTGGTTGGTTTAGTTGCAACTTTATAGATATCATTATCAAATGAAAAAGAAAAATAGCTTGGAATAGAGTCTTGGTTCCATTGAGCTGTAAAAACTGAAGAGTATTTAACTACCTTAAAGTCTATTGATCCTGTAGTACCTGATAAAATGTATGTTGCTGTTGGATTTTTAAAACCTAAATTTTGACCTGATAAAGTTAATAATTTATTTGAATCATAACTAAGCTTTGGATAAATTAAACCTTAAAATTAAAAAAATAAAATTTATTAATAAAAATAAAAATTGTGAATAAATAAAAAATTTTAAATACATACCACATCCAGTGGCTTTAGAGCCATCTAAAGTTTGAGTAATATCAGAAATGCCACTAAATGTGTCCATCAAATTACTATATAGTGATCTTTGGTAACACAAGAAACAGTCTGGTAATGGAGCTTTTAATTCTAAGTTTTCACCCAATTTTAATGATAGAGCATTTAATTGGCAGAATGATTGGGGAACAGTGCCTTCAAGGATATTATTATTTAATATTAAATCGGTTAACTGTGTTGAGCTAATATCTGGTAAAGTACCAGATATTTGATTATTATTTAAGTCCCTAAATTAATTTAATTTTTAATGATTGTTAATAAATAATATAAATAATAATAGTATAATTTATTAATAGTTACAAATATGTTAATCTCAAAGATGCATCCATGGGTGGTAAACTAACAATTTTAACTTTTGGGAGTACTCTGACAAAAAAAAAGTAAAGTTAATTAATGAATTATAGTATAATTTTAAAATTGACCATAAATAATTACAATTTTTTCAAAGAGGGTGGAATAATGCTGAATGGGATGGATCCTTGAAAGCTAAATGTTTCACTCGCATCAAAAATTGAGAGTGATGTAAGTTTGAGATTTTCTGTAAGTTCAATTAATGAAGTTGGTGCTTTTAATTGTGCCCAAATATTACTATATATAAATATTAAAAAAAAAAAAATTAGTTTTTTCAAATAACAAAATCATCAATTACAACTTACATCTCTGTGGTGCTAGTTAGTTTGGTTAGTTCGATTGGATATGTAAGGCCAGTATTAATATCAAATGAAAGTGACCTAATTTTAATAAAAAAATAAAAATAAGTAAGTTGTTTCTCACATAGTTTAGAGTTTATATACTACAAACATTTTATTAACATTATTAAATGTTGATATGTTAGAGAGAGATGGTAAATCAAATCCATTAATATAATCTAAAGATCTAAAAATTTAAAATTAGTATTTTTTTTTTTTTTTTTTTTTTAATTTTTTTTTTTTTTTCATACAATGAATTAATGGTTACAAAATTAAACGAAGGTGTTTCTCCAATTGATGATGAGCTAAATAAAAGGAGTTATGTGGTTAGTATAATAAAAATTTAGGTTTTTTTTTTTTTATATTATAATTACAATGAGTCTAAAGAAATTGGACTTGTAAGATCATTGTTATATTTTACATGTTTAGTGATTGTGGGTGTATCTGAAAAAGAAAAAGAACTATAAGAAAGGATTAGTATCAATTTAAAACTTTATATTAAGAAAATAAAACTTACAATGTTTTAATATTTTTTAAAGATGATAATGGGAGTTTTGAAATAGAGTAATCTGGGGAATCAGTATTAACAACGATAGAGAATTTATTTGTTGGGGATGGAATAGCTGGAAGTTTATCAAAATTTCTTAATCTGCAGTTTTCAACATTTCTGTAATAAAAATGATAAATATTAGTTTCATTTTATATGGTAAATTTCTTTTATTGGTTATACATACATAATTGGAGAGTAGCCAGTATCAGTAAGGTCATTTCCGAAAAGTGTGTAGTTGGCCAATAAACTAGTAAAAGAAATTGATGTCAAATGTTTAAAATTCTTAAAATAGCTATAATCTAAATTAATTGTAGAGACAGTTTCTTGTCCCCTTACTGTCATTGTGGATGCATAGTATTCCCCTCCGATAGATATACATTCGAAATCTGAAGAGGAACAAAAATCCCAAAAAGTATTAACTCCTACAGTTAGCGTTTGGAATCTGGTTGAAAATTCTGATTCAACTAAAACAACCTTTAACAATTTTTCTACACGATTGTCTAAAATTAAGAATAAAAATGGTTAGTATTTTAAAAATTAAAATTTTTTTTTTCTTTTTTATAAAACTATTTACATTCATCTATTTGTAATATTGATTGAGAGTTTGAAATATATACAAAATTTGATATTACAAGTAATATAAAAAAATGAAGAATTTTCATTTTTTTATTGTTGTTAAATATTAATATTCAATTTATAACATATAAAATAAATAATACAAAGATAAAAAATTAAAAAATAAAAAATAAAATTATAAAAAAAAAAAAAGATATTTTAAAAAAAAATTTTTTTTTTTTTTTTTTTTGAAACACTTCCACAAATTTCATTTTTTTTTCTTTTATTTCAAATAATAATTTTGTTATCCATATCAAATTATTTGAATTTAATAAATTAAGATTGGATACTTTTTGATTGGATTTATTTTTTTTTTTAAATTTTAGAGGTAAATAATTTTAATTTCCAAACATATTTATAAAAAGAATTTACTTTATTTTTTTTTTTTTGATTATTTTTTTGTTGTGGTATTTTTGGGTTGAAAAAAAAAATCGGAAAAAGAAATAAAAGCAAAAAGTTATTATAGAAAATTTTTATTTTTAATACATATTTTCCAAAGTTACAACCCTTTTTTTTCTTTTTTCGAAAAATAAATTAATTTTATGTCTTTTATATACATATATTATACCAATAATATTGGCGACTACAATGACTGTACAGGGTAAAACGATTGCTACTGGTAAAATCCAACTGGTTTGTTCTTCATATTTTTTTGTGCCTAAAAATTTTATACGATCTTTACTATACCATTCTATACCATTTTGGGTAATATTTACATCTTGGAAACCTGTTTCTGGACCAATAGTACAATTTATAAATGAATCATTGAATTTGTTGAGTGTGCAATTTTGATTTCCAATTGAAATTGTTAAATTTTCGTGAATAAAACCAAACCAACCATCTATTATAATATCACCACCTAATACTGTTGGAGTTGAAAAACGAGAGGCATAATGATTTGGAATTGAGCAATCTTCAGTGGTATAAAATTCATTACAATCACAGGTACCAGTTTCATTTTTGCAAATACCATTGGAAGGACCACTACAATCACCTGGACATAAAAAGTATGGGATTGAACAATCTACACCTTGATAATCATCACCACAATCACATTGACCAATTGATGATATGCAAATCTTTTGATTCATACATGGCTTTTCACAGGGAATTAAAGTTTGTTCGGTTTCTGATGTTGAGTTAATCGTAATTTGAGTTGAAAGGTCGTCTACTTTAACGATTACTACCATATTTTCATTATTATCTAAATCTTGGCTAATTTGACATTCGATGGCATCAAATGATGAGCTTAAAATTTGACAATCGACTTTAGCTCCATCATTATTGGTAAAAGTAATTTGAACTACCGATGGTAAATAATATTCAAAGTATAAACCCATAAACAAAAATGTATTATCGGTTCTTAATACTGTTTCTACAGTTGGATTTTGTTTCGATGTTGCAACTTTATATTGTTCACTATCAAAACCAATTGAGAAATATCCTGGTTTCCAGTCGCTTGTCCATTGTGTTTTAAATAGGGTTGAATATTTGACTGCATTAAATTGAATTGTCTTATCTGAGCCGTTTTGATCTATATATGCTGCTGTTGGATTGATAAAACCTAAATTATTTCCGGATAATGTGAACTCTTTGTTATTTGAATTATAATCTAATGTTGGTTGAATTTTTCCTAAATTATAAAAAATTATTAATAACAATTACCAATAAATAAGAATTTGTAAAATATTATTTAATAAACCTACCACAAGCTGTTACATCAATGGAAGCAGAGTTTACCCAATTAATAATATTTGTTGCACCATCAAAGGCTGTTTTATAATAACTTCCCAATGTTCTCTTATAGCATCTAAAGCAATCTGGTAAGGGTGTTACTAAACCAGTATTACCTGATAGATCTAATGTCTGAATATTTAATTGACAAAATGATTCTGGGACTGATGTTAAACCATTATTAATTAATTTTAAATCTACAATATTTGTTGAGCTAATATCTGGTGAAATTGTAATTCCAATTGATGCTAATGATCTACATATATAAAATAAAATATTAATATTAATGGAGATAAATTAATAAATTTGTTTTAAAAAATCAAAGAATAGCTACAAATAAGTTAGTGTTGATGGTAAGTTTTTAAATGGTATTTTTTTGTTAAAATTAAAAGTTGCTGAATTTGAATCAATTGATAACTTTTGTAATTTTGGGATACCAGCTAAATCAATTTCTTCAGTTGGTACATTAAAACTTCCTTTTATTGTTCTAAATAGAAAAAAAGTAAATAGGTAAATATATAACTAATAGTTTTTTATAATTATAATAAACTTACAATTGTGTAGTTTTATCTAAATTAAAAGTTGGGAAATCGATATTACCAAAAGCTACATCTAAATTACTGTTAAAAAAAATAATTAATAATAAATCCACTTTATAAAGAGTGTATATCTAAACAATATCTACATTAATTCTGATCCTCCTAATGTGTTTAAATTTGTAAGTGAGGCTGAATCAAAATTTCCAATTAAATTCATGTACCTATTTTATATTATTATAAGAAAATTAATATTTAATTAATTATTTCATCATTTAAAAGGAATTTATAACTTACAAATCTTTAATTGCATATGATTCAAACGATGGAACATTGGATGTTGAAATATAGCTAAATATTCATAATTAGTTTTTTTTTTTTTTTTTTTTTTTAATTTGTAAAACAATTTTTTAAAAACCTACAATGAATTCATATATTTTATATTTGATGGGACTATATTATTTTTATATTGTGGTGCTGTGTTTGAGTAAAGGTTTACATATTTACTAAGGTTTAAAAATAATTAATATTTTTTAAAATAAAATCTAAATAAAATTAAATTAAATTAACCATACAAATCCAATATGTTTTCAAGAATACTAAAATTGATAATAGAAGGTTGAGGATCTAAACTATTTAATGTTAAATTTGAAGTTGGTGAAGGAAGAGTTGCAATGTCGCTCATTCTACAATTAATTAAATTTCTAAATATAAAAATATAAATTAATAAATTGTAATTATATTATTATTTAAATTTAACATACAATGCTTTGGTAACACCGGTTTTAGTTGGATCAGATTTATCTCCAAAAGAATCTTTAGTAAACCTCATACCATAATTTGAACCATTTAATTCCAGGTATGAAAGTTTAAATGCTTTGAAACTACTGTAATCTAAATCGGCTGATTGTGATGCTGCTGTAATATATAATGTGTCAATAGTATCACCAATACATGTAACTTTTAAAAATGCTTTATTTTGAGAACAAATATCTGCTGGTTCATTTTGGTAAATACTTAAATAATCTGTTCCTGATAAAACTGAACCTAAAATATTTTTTAATGAAATGTCTATGTGATTAAATAAAAATAAAAAAATTAATTTATAAATTTTAAATTTTGATTAAAAAAAAATAAATAAATTAAATACACACATTGCGGGTCAGAGGCTGGCAAAAGTGCGCTTATATAAAACTCCTTATTATTACTAATTAAAATAATAATAAATAAAAAATAAAAAATATTATTGGTTTTTAATTTCATAATTTATTTTTCTAAGATTTAAGATATATATTTCTATATACCTTAAATAAATATTATTGATTTGAAGAAAAAGAAAAAATATATTTTTCTATTACACAATAAATAATAATGATTAAAAAAAAAATTTAAGCATCGTTTTTTTTTTTTTGAATTATAAAATAAAAAAAAAATTTAAAATTTATATTTTATTGATGATTAAAAGAGATAGAAATAGATATTTTTTAATCAAAACATTATTAATTTCAAATAATATAAACTCTACCACCAACCATTATTTTTTTTTTTTTTCAGATAATCAGTTTGCAAAAAATAAAAAAATTTTAAAAAAATTAAAAAAATTTTATTTATTTTTTTTAAAATTTCATAGAAAACCATTAACGGATTACCCTTATATAAAAACTGGGTAAAGTGTTGAATTTTTTAAAACCACACGAGTTTCTTTTTTTTAATATTTAACTAAAAATAGAAAAGTTATTTATATATAACATAAATTAATCTCAAACCAAAAAAAAAAAAAAAAATTGAAAAAAAAAAAAAATTTTTATTTATCGCTATTATTATTTCTATATTATATTTTTTGAAAGATTCTTTAAAGAGAATTTACTTTTTTTTGATGGATCATCTTTTTGTTTTTTATAAATAAAGAAACCCAAACCACCAACAATTGCAGCAGCACCAATCGGTACAACGATAGCAACAGGCAACACCCATGATTTTTTATTTGAGCCCTCTTCATAGTATTGCTCTGATTCTTCTAGTCCGCTATTACTACTTTCATTTTTAACACCACTGCTACTATTACTGTTGTTATTGCTACTATTTTCTTTACTACTTTGACTTCCTGAATAAATACTTTTATATTTGAATAGGTTATTATTTGACCGAGTTATATTATTTTGTGTTATATGTATTGGTTTAGTTCCTTCTTCGCCTGGGCCTATAGTACATGTTATTTTTGAGTTTGTTACATTTTTAATTTCACAATAATTGTCTATATCAACTAAAATTGTTAAGTTTTCATGTACATCACCAAACCAACCAGTTATTATAACTTCGCCACCAGTGGTCAATGGAGATGATATGAATTGAGCATAGTGATTGGGTTTAGAACAATCATAATAAGTGTATAGAGGGTCACATGAGCATTCTCCTTTGACAGAATCGCACCAGCCTTTACTTGAAGAATAACTACAATTGTTTGGACATGGTTTTAAAGGTAAACTACAATCTATAGATTGCCAATCTTCGGTACATCGGCATTCTGAGGTAGATGTTAAACAAATACCTCCATTTTGGCAACTAGTTGGGCAATAGTTAACATTTTGGGTGGTATCTCTATTTGAATCAAAGGTAATTTGGGTAGAAAGTTGGTCGACTTTAACAATTATTATTAGATTTTCTTCTTTTGGTATGGCTTGTATACTTTCATCCACTTTACATAAAATAGTTTCAAAAGTGGATGTTAAAACTTGACAGTAAATATTTGGTACATGTTCATTGCCGCCCAAAGAGATACTAATAAGGGTGGTATCATAGTTAAAGAATGATCCATTGAATGTAAATGTATTTGATGATTTAGTAACACTTTTTACTATAGGCTTGTAGTTTCCAGTTGAAACTGTATAGTCATCACCATCGAAATTAAATACCATTGTTGGTGGTAATGGTCCACTTTTATCCCATTGAGCGGTAAATAGAGATGAGTATTTAACTGGTTTAAAAGTAATAGACGAATTTAAATTTGAATCTGAATATATACCAATTGGGTTTGTAAATCCTAAATTTTGACCTGATAAAGTTATAGTTTTTGAAGTTGAGCTATAATTAATAGTTGGAAAAATTAATCCTAAAATAGAATGGTATTAGTTATTTTATTTAAGTTGTTTTTTTAAAAACTTAAACATACCACATGACTTAGTTGGTAAATTATCTAAATAGTTTATAATTTCAGAAATTCCAGCAAAAGATGTTTTGTAGTAATTATTTAATGTTCTTCTATAGCATTCAAAACAGTTTGGTAAAGGTAATGCTAATCCAACATTATTTGCTAGATTGAGAGTTTGAATATTTAGTGAGCAGAATGATGTTGGTACAGTTCCGGTAAATTTATTATTATTTAAAACTAAATCTATCAAATTTCCTTCGCTAATATTTGGTAATGGTCCTGTAATTGAGTTATAACCAATATCTCTAAAATTTTAAATTAATATTCATTGTATAAAATAAAATGAAAAATAGTTTACTTACAAAAAAATGATGGAGTTTAAAATTGTAGGGAATATAGTTAAACCAACGTTTTCTAAAATTCTATAAATATAAAATATTAATATTTTTTTTTCTTTTTTTTTTTTTTTTTTAACTTACAATTGTTTTAAAGAGGTTGGGTAGTTTGAAAATGGTACTTCACCATTATAGTTAAAAATATTATCATTAGATTTTATATTTAACTTAATTAAATTTAAACTACTTGATAGATCCATCTTATTATTAATTTTATTAAATTTACCTTTTATTTCCCTATATATTTCTTTAAAAGTCAGTATTTAAAACAACATTAAAAAAAACATTAAATTAAACTTACACATTATTAATATTATTCAATGATGTTAATTGAGCAGGAAATTCAATTGGGTCGATAGGGAATTCTAGGGTACTATAAAATTTAATTTAGTATTTTTTTTTTTTTTAAAATATTATATTGAAATACTTACAATGTTTTAACATTTGAAATAGTTTGTATATTTGATAATGTAGTTTTATCAAAACCTGTAAATAAAGTTATTTTTCTATAAATTAAATATTAAAATTTAGATTAATAGGAAAGATAAAAATTTATTGAATAAATATATTTACAAATCGTTTATGGTTGTTCTGGAAAAAGTGGGAATACTCTTAAGTACTGAATAGCTTTAATAAAAATAAACTATTAATATTAAAATTTAGTTTATATATTTATTTAATAAATATGATACATACAATGAATTGAAAGCTAAGTTTAAATTTTTAGAAAGTAAATCATTATTATATGTTGGTATATAAGTATTTATTGTTCCATTGAATAAATAGGTGCTGTAGTAAAAAATGAAATAAAAATTTAATTATTTATGATTTAAAATTAAAATTTAAAATAAAAACTTACAAGTCTTTAATATTTTTAAAAAATGAAAAATTAATAATTTCAATAGTTTCTGTATCTTTATTATTTAGTGTGAGTTTATTTGTCGGTAAAGGTAGTATGCTTGCTGCACTAAATGAAGTGTCTAAAGTAATTCCATTTAAATATCTAAAAAAAAAAAAATTAAAATTCTATTATTAAAAATAAAATAATGAAACTACTTACAATTCTTTACTAATTCCTTTATTTGATAGAGAATTTCCCTCATCACCGAAATCACTGAAATCGTATTTACAATCATTTGCCCTAAAGAAATCTAAAGAGGTAAAATTTTTTAAATCGGAATAATAAAACTTTGTTTTTGATTCACAACTTAATGTAACTTTAGAAAGAGTTGTCCCAATACATATAATATTTGGTTTATATTTATCATTACAAAAATCAATATAGCCGTTGGTCAAAGGATACAAGCTTTCAAAAGTTTTATACGAATACATTCCTTTCAATAATTCAGATAGGGTGTTATCTATATAATAATCAAAAAAATAAAGTTATATTTAAAATTTATAGTAGTTATTGATAGAATCTATAAATTATTTTATATTTACAATCTATATCATTTAATTTATCTGCAGCCAAAACCAATGTTATATATATAAATATAAAAAAAATATTTTTTTTCATTTTTTATCTCTTTATAAAAATACAAATAATTAAAAATACATAAGATAAAAGATTATTAAATATAAAAAAAAAAAAAAAAAAATTTGATTATAAAAAATTTAAAAAAATAAAATAAAACTTTTAAAAAATGTTAATGTTTGTTATTTTATATTTTATTTTTTTTGTAAAAAAACAAGGCACATTGTTGCCAAACCCCTAACCACTTGAAGGAATTTTTAGTGTGGGTGTGGGTTTTGATTATTTTTTTTTTTACAAAAATTTTAAGGTACACCCACATTTTATAATTGTGGATTTTATTTTTAGATTTCTAGAAATGAGATGAATAATTATTTTTATTTGAAATCTAGATTAAGCAATAAAAAAATCAATAAAAAAATCAATAAAAAAAAAATACAAGTTATTTTAATTTTTGAATAAATATATAAGGGGAGGTATGTTTATATATGAAAATTCATATATAATTGAAAGAGTTTGTTTATTTATATATATAAAAAAAAAAATTATTGTTAATATTTTTTTTTTTTTTTTATAAACTTGTAAAATCATAATTATTTTCCAATAATAAAAGTTTGATTTTTGGATATTCATAAATTTTTGAAGTTGATGGTAAATGTTCTTTGCAAAATCTGTAAGTGTCAATAGAGATAGTTGTCAAAGTATTTCTATGGTACTTTAGTAATAGGTCGATTAAAGGATTATCGAAACAACTCTTATAGTGTTTCAAATAGAGATAATAGAAGTCGGTCAAACGGCACTTTGAATATACCAATATGTAATCTACTAAACCTTTGAAGGAACCAGACCATTTATCTTGTTCGAATGAATGACCAATGATTTTTAAAGACTTTAAATTCGGAATTTCGGTTGGGTAGGTATGAACGCTCTTTTGAAAATTAAATTTATTTAAATGACATGACTCCATTCTATAATCGTGGGAGTGTAACTCTAATTTAGTTAGACTTTTAAAAACACTTGAAATATTTTCAAATGGTGAACTCTTGAGTATTGTATAATAATCAAAATCAGACTTTGGTATTTCAACAATTGGACTCTTTTCTTTTTTACTTGATTTCTTTCTCTTCTTTTCAACTTTATTGAATTCTTTTTCTTTTTTAATTGTGTCGTTATTAAATATTAAATTATTAACTTTTAACTCTTCTTCTTTAATATGTTCATATGATTGTTGATTTATTATAAGCTGTTGTGGTTGTTGTAATTGATAGCCATTGAAATTCAAAAAGTTATTATTACTATTATTATTACTACTATCTAAAAATTGTGATGTTTTATTAAAATGTTGCTGTTGTTGTTTTTCTAAATAACTTGATATAGTATTATTAAATAATTCTATTAAATGATTTACTGTATTTTGTAAATTATTATCATGTTCATCGTTATCTTCCTTATCCTCTTTTTCTTTTTTTTCCTTCTTTTCTTTCTTTTCCTTTTTTTCCTTCTTTTCTTTTTTTTCTGATTTCTCTGGGTTATCTTCATTATCATTACCAATATTATTATTATTACTATTGTAATTATTTAATGGTGACTTATTTATTTTTTCATTTGTTTTTGTTAATCTTAATCTAATTCTATCAATTATAATTTCTTTTTCTTTTATATAAATGTCCTTTAATCTTAAAATTAATTTATATTGTGATTCCGTTTTTGGATTATAGTCTTCTAAATGATATGGGAAACTATAGATATATTTATTAAACATTTTCTTTAATCTATATTCGATTTCATCATTTGAAAAATTTGAGAATAAACTATTTAAATTCTATAAACGTATGTAAATAAATTAGTATGTTTCTATTTTATATTAATAAATATTTATTATTAGGTATACAAACATTTTCGCTATAATATAATTTTTCAAATAAAATAACTTTATCATAACCCAGATGAGATAATGTTTGAAAAACCAATTTTGATGGATCAATGAAAACTTTTATTAGGAAGCCATAGTACTCTTTCCAATTGATATTAACTTCAACTCTTTTGCAAATTCCATAGTGTGTGTATTGCTTGGTTTCTTTGAATGATTGCTTATTTTCAAAAAATATAAAAAATTGTAAAGCAATGTAGAGTCTGATCAATTCATTTTTAGAATTTTGAAAACTATTAAATAACTTGATAATACAATCGTATGGTAATGTTAAAACTTTGTTAAATGTTGAATCATAACCAATCTTTTCGAAATGACTTCTGTTAAATTGTGACAAACCAATGCTATTATCTTCTATTAAATCCATGATCTTTTTATTGTAGTTGGTATATTTCTCTTCTGATTTTTCAAACAATTCAATGGCCTTAAAATTGATTTTATAATCTGTTGCATATGCAGTCTTTATAAATTCATCAAACAATTGATCAACAATTCTAATCTTTTCTGTATCATCTAAAATTGATTTTGACTTTGATTTAGATTTTGATGGCACCGATGATGAGTTCTTTTTATCTTTTTTACCTTCAGTATCTTCAGCCTCTTCTTTCTTATCTTTTTTCTTTTCTTTTTCACTATCTTCTTTAATGATATCATTATAGTTATTGTTTATATTTACATTTTCATTATTTACATTATTACTATTATTATTATTATTATTATTATTATTATTATTATTATTATTATTATTATTATTATTATTATTATTATTATTATTATTATTTGAAAATATTTGAGATGGTACCACATTATATATTTGTTGATACCCTAAAGATGATTGATAAGGATTTGTCACATTTTGAAAATTTGTATTTTGAAAAGAGAAATTTTGGACTTGTGGATTCTGATATTGTTGCTGTTGTGATGGCGGTTGGGGTGTTTTTTGATGGTTGGGGTTACTATCCTTTATTTTTTCATTGATAAAAACCAATTCTTTTTCTTTTTTCTTTTTTGGTTTAGAAGAACTGTTTTTAGATTTTGATGATTTATTGGCACTAGCCCCACTATTATTTGTTGTAACTGGAGTACCATCATTATCTTCTTTTTTATTTATTTCATTTTCCTCTATTTTTAACTTTTTTTTAGATGATTTTAAAGTCATATTTTTTTTTTTTTTTTTTTTTTTTTTTTTTCTCCAAAAAAAATTATAAAAAAAAATAAATGTTTATTGGTGTTTATGTTTTGATTTTATAATAACCGTTACTATTATATAATTTAAATTATTATTATTATTATTATTATTATTATTTATTATTATTAATTATTATTACTATTGGGTAGATATTTGGTTTTGGGTAAAGTTGGACGTGTATATTTATTTTTAGCTATCGGATACAACTACAACTGTTTTTATTTTCTTTATTTTAAATTTATTTTTGAAATTTTTGCAATAATTAATTGGTTTGGTGTTTTATATGATATATTATTTTGATTTAAAAATTTTATAAAAAATTAAAACATAAATAAAAAAATAATAAAAAATTACTGTTATCAATTTTTTATTTTTTTAGGGGGAGAATATATATAAAGGTTGTGTGTTTTATTTTAATTTTTTTTATTGAATTGATATAATAAATGATGGTGATGGTGTGTTATATTTTTAGTCTTTTTATTTATTATTACACAAATTTGAGTTTGGACTAAATAAAAAATTAAAAAAAAAAAATAAAAAAATAAAAAAAATAAAAAAATTTTAAAATAAAAAAAAAGAAAAAAATATATATATAAATATGGGGTTATGTAGTTATTATGTGGGTGATTGAATTATAATAATTGAAATCTTATTATTATTATTTTATTTTATTAATTTAATATGTGGGTTTGGCAGTTAAGAGGATATATCAATCGTATATAACAAAAGTTTAATATAGATATTATTTTATTTATTTATAATTTTATTTTAATTTTTTTTTTTGCCTAATATTTTATTTTATACTTTTTTAGAACTAAAATAATCTTCTATATCTTAATTTATTTTTAGAAATTTAATACTGATCAAATATTATATATGATGACACAAAAAAAAAATAAAAAAATTTGTTACACGTCGCACACAAGCTGAATGGTGGATCACCACGCTCTGTACCTCACTTTTTTTTTAAAAAAAATTTTAAAAAAATAAAAAAAAAAATAAAATAAAAACTTTTCAAAAAAGAAAAAAAAAATAAAAATAAAAAAAAAAAAAAAAAAGTTTCTGTGGTGGTGCGATAAAAATAACTTTCAACCATTGCATATCTTTTAATTTATTTAAACAAAATAAAAAGATATCTCTGATAAGCAATAAAAAAAAAAATAAAAAAATAATTTAAATAATGGTGTTTATTATTTTAAAATTTTAATAAATTTTTGTTTGATGAAGTTTTTAAAACATTTTTGATGTATGCACGATCAACTCCATAGCTTAAAAGACTCGATTCACAAGCTAAAATTGGAATATCTCTGGTAATAAGATCGATGTCATAAGTTTCATCGGTAAGCATACTTAAGAAAACAAAAATGAAAAGGTATAATAAGTTTTTAAAAGTTTTTGATTGTAAACCGCCAAGTTTTCTTTCGTATTTATAAAATTCCATTTCAGAGATGCCTAATGCAGCAGCAGTTGGTGAAATTTTGAATGATGAAGAACCTAAGTCACTAACAACTTTTCTTAGTTGAGTACATACTTTAATTGTTAGGCTTGAAATTGAATGTTTTGAGGATGAAGAGAGAGATGAAGATAAAGGTGAGGGAGATACAAAGGAGGATATGGATTGTGCTGGTTTTACTTTTAGTTTCTCTTCCACAATTTCTGATCTCTCTTTTAATTTTAAATCCTTTTTTTCTTTTCTCTTTTTTTTCTTTTCATCTTTTGCTGGTAGTGTGTCTTCACTTTTAGCTTGATTACCTCTAGATAGTCTCCTTCTTGAATACTCTTTTATTTCATAACTTTCTTCTTGATATTTGTGGGATACTGGTTTGGTTGGGGCAGATACCTGGTTGATTGGAGTAGATGCTGGTTTGGTTAGAGTAGATACTGATTTTCCTTGTGGTTTATCATCATAGTCTCCAAATAAATCAAAACCCATATCTTCATCACTTTCTTCTTGATATAAACATACTGCTGGTTTGATTGGGGCAGATACTTGGTTGATTGAGGCAGATACTGGTTTTTCTTGTGGTTTATCATCATAGTCTCCAAATAAATCAAAACCCATATCTTCATCACTTTCTTCTTGATATAAACGTACTGGTTTGGTTGGGACAGAAACTGGTTTGATTGGGGCAGATACTTGGTTGATTGGGACAGAAACTGGTTTTTCTTGTGGTTTGTCATTATAGTCCCCAAATAAACCAAAACCCATATCTCCATCACTTTCTTCTTCAGATTCATGAATTTTTGGTTTATCAGGCAATTTTTCGTTGGACATTTGAGGTGTATAGTAATCATATTCATCAAACAACCCAAATCCTATATCATCATGGCTTTCTTCTTTCTTTTCTTTCTTTTGTTGTAATGGTGCTGCTGCTGTTAATGTTGATATTGATGTTCCATCATAACCACCATCTGAATCTGACCAATCATCTTCATCATCTTCATCATTATCTATAAAACAAGTTGACATTCTACGTAAAGATAGTGCGGACGAAAGTTTGTTTAATAATTCACTATTTGGCTGGGTAGGTTCTAATTGATTAGCATTTAAAGCAGAAGATTGACCGGCATATTTAAAACTTACACCACTACGAATCGATGAAAGAAGATCACTACGGTCGGAAGCTAATGATTTAGAAGCAGCCAAGCCACCAAATGAAGGTAGAGGTGGAGGTGGAGGGGCTGGGGCTGATGGGGCTGGGGCTGATGGTAAGGATGTTCTTGGGGCCATCGAGCCACTACTCTTTCCGCTAATAGAATTGAATCTGTGATCAGAAGGAGCTCCTGGTGAAGGGTAATTGGAATTATTGTTATTGTTATTTTGTTGATATTTTTGTGGAGCTTTTGGTACACAGCTACCGACGCCTCTGCCTCCACCAAAAAATCCAGACAATGCTTCAATAGGTAATGTTGGTGTTGGAATTACTGTTGGTACTGGTGCTCCGCCTACTGCTCTTGAAATGAATGTTTCCCTTTTTGACTGGGGAACGTACAAATTGGGTGGTGGTGGTGGAGGTGGTCCAGAACTTATTGGAAATATTTTTTTACTGTAAACAGTTGGTAAGGGTAGAAAAGGTGCACCAATTACTTGATTATATACAAAGGGCTCCAATGATTCTTTGACCTTTGTGCCCAAAGATACAATATGCCTTGGTTCAAGTGGGTGATTTGGAGAGAATGTGATTGATGTTAGAGGAGATGGAGAGTAACTTGGGGATGTTGGAGAGTAGCTTGGGGATGTTGGAGAGTAACTTGGGGATGTTGGAGAGTAACTTGGGGATGTTGGAGAGTAACTTGGGGATGTTGGAGAGTAGCTTGGGGATGTTGGAGCGTAGCTTAGGGATGTTGGTTTATAAATGGGATCTTCATCGTTTATCAATCTAATATTTGTGTCGATTTCAATTTTTGGTTTAAATGATTTTTGTTTTAGGGTAATATTACTGACTTGGGCAGCTTTTAACCATTCACCGGCACTGGTTTGTGGTATAGTATTTATTTCTTTTTCAGCATTTTCGAAATCACTAACTTTACTGGGTATCTCTTTAAGATCTGATAAAGTATAGTTTTCTTCTTCTAATTCTTCGACAATTTCATCTGAATAAACGGTTAATTCATTTAAATAGTCTCTTAGTTTTTGGAGTTCTAAAGTTGAATCCTTGTATGAGCTTTCCTCGAGACAATCTAGCTCTGAAATTCCATTATCAAAAGCTTGTTTTGAAATTAAAATTGCTTTTTGGGTATCACCATTGGCATGGTAGAAGTGAGAAACTGAATGATAAAACTTGATTAAAGTAGAGTTTGTTGGTGGTAATGGGTTTTCTTTTGACTTATTTATAAATTGATTATAAAGATTTTCAATTTTTTCTTGCCATTGTTTTTTAGAATATTTGTTATCGTCACATCTATAAAGACCAGTATAAATTGAATATTGAGATTCTATTAAAGATAATAATTTCTCTTGATTGGCAAAGGAACTATTCGACATTGAATTATAGCTACTTTCTAATAACCTTAATAATCCTTTACCTTCGTAAATAATTTCATCTTTAAGTTTCTTTTTTAATCTTTGTTGTTTAGAATTTGCTGATGATAATGGTTTGGTGGGTGTTGTTGGTGCAGAAATATTGATGGAGATTAATGAAGTTACTTTTTCTGAAATCAATTCACTAATAGTATTTGAAAGTAATGATAGTTCATCATGTGAATAGTCACCAAAAGTTTCATTAAGTTGATAGAATATTCTAATTGAGTCAGAGTATCTATTATTTGAATGGTACTCTTTAATTAAATTAATTAATTGATCACGTTTACTTACAAGTGATGGGTCATTTAAGTCTTGATCAAATCCTTCCCCTTTGTTTTCCCATGCAACATATGGTAATGAATCGACAGCAGTTTGGGATATAATCGAATGGATTGAATCGATTTTTTTAATTTGTTCGCCAGCTTCTCTTTTTTCAATGGCTACAAAACTTGTGAACTCGGTTACAATGCTATACTTTATGGAAAGATCGATAACATCTTGTTTCTTTTTCATTTTAATTAAGTCATGCTCGTGCTTATTTGAGCTATAGGTACCATCGTTATATTCTCTAATCATTGAACGTGCAGCCAATCTATGAATCAAATTACCTTTGATAAATCCAATTTCGGGTGTATGAACAATGTTTGAAACAATACCCCCACCTGGAGCATGACATACAAGTGTTGCACGTGTACATATACCAGAGAATGCATAAATAACTTGTCTTTCTGATTTAAAAATTGAAGAAATAGTTGCAGGAGATTGAACAATTTTATCAGTACTATCGAATGCTACCTCGATATTTGACATTGCAGGTTGGAGTACACGTTGGATCATATCAACAATCTTTTTAGGATTTGGACGTTTATTAGGGACAATAAAATCTGCATAGCCACTACCAATTCTTGAAATTTGTTTAATGAAATGTCTGGAACAATGTTCACCAATACCAAATGTGAATAAACGACAGAAATTTGAAGCCTTTTTTGCTAACATCAAAGATAACTCTTCATTTGAAACATTACCATCGGTAAACAATAGAATATTGTGTGGGTTGGTTGGTTTGGCTTTTTCTGATAACAAATAAATTGATTCCAATGGAGAGTGTAGTTTTGTACCACCACTAATTGGTTTTAATTTGTTGATGTGGTTCCATGCAATTTGGAGATTTTCTTCGGTTGGTAGGACATCTTCAACAAAAAGCCAATCATAATTGTCACCAAAATCACAAATATTGAAAAGTAATTTTGGTACACCACGTAGATTCCTAACAGTTAAACGAACTGCTCTTAAAAGATCTTCAAATGTATCACCAGCCATAGATGCAGATAAATCGATGAGTAAAGTTAAGTGAGTGAATGATTCTTGAGTGCTATCGATATCTAATTTTGGATAGAATGCCAACATACTGGCATGATGACCTTTATCATCTACCTCTACCCACATACGTGGTGAATAGGGTTCTTCTAGGCCAATTAATAGTTGGAAATTTTTATCTAAATAGCTCTTATCACCTGGTTGTAGTTCGATAGTAGCTTTTGTGTGAGTTCTTTTGATCTTGATATTATGGGTTGGTGAGGTTAATTTTACAATATTGTATGGCATATCAATACCAACTTGGATGGTAAGATCTGAATCTTTTTGGTCTTGGTCACTGATTGAAACAGTTTTGGTAACATTTTGTGTAACATTTGAACCAGAGGATAAACGTTGTCTAGGTGTGATTGAACGTGGTAATACAAAACTAATATCCAAGCCATCAACTGATAACTCTGTGACATATGTGATTTTAATAAGAACATCACACTTTGGTGGTAGGTTTCCAACACTAACTGTAAACACATCAGGTTTATCTTCGTCCATTAGATAAGCACCATGGCCTGCAGCTACAGCCTCTCGATATTCACGATGAGCCTTTTCTTTTTCTTTTACTTCACCAATAATATGTTTACCATTGATAAATGCTTCAAAACCGCAAACTGCACCCATTTCGTCTAATGGAAAAACATATTTTGCCTCAATAGTTGACGAGGAACAATTTTGATAGTGTTGATAGATAGTGACTTCTCCAATAAGATCTAATACTCTAGCTCTAACATGAACAGATTTTAATGGAATATCATCTTTGCCAGATGATGATTTTGAAACCAGACCAATTTCTTTTTGCTCTTCTTCTTCTTCAATATCTTTTTTATTTTCTGATTTTTCTGGAATAGTGGTAGGACATTCATCTGGTTTAATTGTTGTTTGTGGACTATTTGAAACATTTAAGACTTGGTTGGGAATATTTAATAATTCTTTTCTTAAATTTGTATCTTGAAATTCAATTAAGTATTGTAGTTTTTGTTGTTTTGAATTATAAATTACAATTTCATCATCTAGAAATTCAGATTTTAAATTTGAGGTAGATTGGACACCCTGAACACTATTAAATCCTTTTGGTGGTTGATTTAATTGAATTTGATGAGTTGTATATTTCTTGCAATTACCCAATGCAACTTGACAAATAAACATATATTTATGATGATTAATTTCTGAATCTTTGCAGTATTGTGCGCTTGTCATTGCTTTGGTACCAAAATAAATGCCAGAACCCAAATAACCAATGTCTCTTCTTCCAGAACCAATTGATGTTGAAACATTTGGTGGTAATAAACCCCTAGATAAAATACCTAAAATATTTGAAGGATTACTACCATGATATAGTGTTTTAATATTCCCTAGTTGGAACTTTAAATTCTCTTCATCATTTCTGCTTATTTTATAAATTGATTTAATTGATAATTTCTGAATATTAATTTAAAAAATTAGTATGAATTACAAAACAAAAAAAGAAAAAAAAAAAAAACATACATCATCTAATTTTAACTGATCTAATAATCTTTTATAATCTTTGCTTGAATCATCTAGCTTGGTAATATTACAATGTAATGCTCTATATCTTTTAGCTTCATTATTTCCAACTGAAAATGATAAACCACTTAATGATTCACCGACTGATAAAATATCCTTCATAACTTGGATGGACTCTTGAATATCAGATAAATGTTCATAGTCGAATGGCTTGGATGAGCTTGGTTTAATTTGTGGCAAAGCTTTGTAAACTTCATTAAATAGCTCCACCGATTTATTTTCATCAATTTTGGTATTTGTGGTTCTAAGTAAAGTGGATAATTGGAATAAAGCCAACTCAGCTTTATCAACTTGAGCCAATGTGATATCACCCATTGATGTTTTAATGGTACCCTCTGGTGAAAGTGATAATGTATTACCATTACCAAATTTACTGGCTAACTCTACTATGGCATTATCGTAGAGCATTTTGATTAGTGATTCAATTGACTTTGGTAATGAGTTTGGTGGCAATGGTTTTTGTTGTGATAAATCTTCACTTTGAGTTTGATAAAGTTTTTTTAATTTATCTGAACCTACTATAACAGAGCTTAATTGTAATTTTGAATAGTCATTTTGATTTAGATACTCCAATAATATTTGATTATAAATTGATAAAGCGCTCTCGATGCTATTTGCTGATATCCATTCTTTGGTTTCTTCACTAATTTCTTTATAAATTCCACCAGAAATTGTACCATAGTTGAGAAAAACTCTATAAAATGATGATGTATCATCATCAGATGAATCTTGGCCACTATTATTCGAGCCACCACCAACTTGAATTAAATTTAAACTTTTACCTGCCACATGTAGTTCGATACAGCAAAACCTATCAGAAAGCCTATCGTGTTTGGATAAAATATTATGTTTGACAATATGATATTTTGATTCTGGAAATAAATCTGATTTTTCATCATATTTTATTCTATCAAATTTTTTATTTTTGTTTTCACTACCTGAATCATTGTTGTTATTATCCCCCAATAAATTTGAAAAGTCAAATGATTTATAGTGATATTCTTTAATGTTGTATTTTGATACAAGTGAATATTCGTCATGAGATAATAAACTGCCATATGAAGCTGAATCGTCTAAATATCTTTTTGAAACAATTGGAATATTTAGTTTGATTGCCTTCTTAATCCCAAAAGATAAATCTTCAATATTAACATCATTATTATTTTCAACTTTGACTAAATCTTGAAAGTCACCATAGAATACATAATAATTAACCTAAAAATAATTGTTTTAGAATATTAATAAATTTTTTTTTATAAATAAAAGTTGTAATTGAATGAAGTTGTAAATGATAAAAAATAAGTTAAAATATTTTAGAAAAAAAGAAGATAATTAAAAACCCCTTTGTTATTATTTTAAGGTGTTTAATTCATTTGTTGAAATTATAAAAAAGTGTTATTAAATATATAAATATCTCTAACAAAAGAGTTGAATTATAATTACCTTTTGGTTTAAAATCATTGAAACAAGACCACCATTTGATTCAATAAATGTTTGTAGTTCTTTTTTAATTTTATACCCAGATGATGGACCACAATCAAGATAAAATGTATTACCATTGAGTATATTACTCTTCTTTTGAGTGTTATTAAATCCTGATGGCATTTTTTTAATATTATTACAAAAAATTATTTTTATTTTATTTATTTTAGTTTAAGTGATTTTATTTATTATTTATTATTTATTATTATTTATTATTATTTATTATTATTTATTATTTATATTATTTATATTATTGTGTTTAAATAATAAAAAGTTTTTTTTAAACTCCAAGATATTTAATTTTCTGAAAAAAAAAAAAAAAAATTTTAAAAATTGCAATATTAAATTAAAAAAATTAAAAATATGGAAAAAAAAATAGAAAAAAAAAAGAAATAACTTTTTTTTCCTATTTTTAATCTAACAATATATGAAAAGTAAAAAATAGATAAATTAAATTTAATACATCAATTTTAATTTTTATTTATGGAAATGAATTTTTTTTTTTATGAAAAAAAAAATAAAGAAAAAAAAATAATTAAAATATATTATTATTTTATTATTATAAATATTTGTTAATTGTTTGGTTTTGTAAAAATGATTATAATAAATATTATTATTGAAAAAGTTTTTTTTTTTTAATTATTGTTTATAGTAAAGTTGAGAAAGTTGAGATTGATAATGACCATTTTGGGGAGATGAAGATGGTGGTGGTTGTGGTGGTGGTGATTGAAATTGTGGTAATGATTTTGGAACTTGTTGATTATTGTTTGATTGTGGTGAAGATTGTTGTTGCTGTTGTTGTTGTTGTAAAAACTGTTGTTGATTTTGTCTTATAAAATATTGAACTTTTTTAACAGTGGCCTTGATCATAAACTGATCTCTTGAGAGAGAACGAACATTTTTTAAGTATTCATCTAGAGAAATTCTGTTACTGTGTAAAGCTTTATCTAAATAATATAAAAGATCCTCAATGGTTGAATCGTCAGAAACTAACTTTAATAATTGTTTGGATAATGGATCTTTAGGACCCAACATGGCATCGATATCAATATCAGTTTCAGGTTTATCATTCTCCTTAATCCATTTCTCTAACTGGGTAATATTTTCATTTAATTGATCAATTTGACTATTATAAAGTGCCAATTGTTCTTGAAGCTCTCCTTTTTCGAGTTGTTGTTTTTTTGATAACTCTTCCAATGATCTGTTGTGAACTTGAAAATCTTTAATTTCTTTTACGGTTGTGTCATAATATTGTGATAAAATCTCTTGTAATTTTATTGTACATTCGTCTATTAATTCTTTCTTTTTATCGATTACAGGTTGTGGAGGAATTTGTGGTAATGATTTAGTTGGTGGTGGTTGTGGTTTTTGTGGTATTGGTGGTGGAATTGCTATGGATGGATCACCTAAACCTTTTGATGCTGCTGCTGCTAATGCTGCATTCTTTTTTTGAATTGATGAATCGTATGATGGTGGTGGTACATAATTTGAAGAAGCTCCTGGTGATGAGCCATAGGGTGGTGGGGGTATAGATCCTGTATTATTATTTCCATTACTATTAACTGGAGAACCGCTTGGAGATGATCCATATGGTGGTGGGGGTTGATTATATTGTGATGATGTAGTTGATGGCGATGAATTTGGTGATTTGGTTTCTAATGGTGGTTTAAAACTAAAAGCATCACATAATAATTTTAAACATTGCCCTAAAGTTGATGCACTGTTCCAACTGCTGATATATGGATGATAAACCAAACCCTGTAGGTTTGCATGTTGATGACTTTCCACTATTCTCATTTCTGGTGTTGGATCTAAAAATATGGTTGGATATTCTAATGGATAGTTTAATGGTACCCATACGATAATTGGTAAATAATAATTTATATTTTTAAAACAAATTGGTATTGTACCTTTAATATTAATTAAATTTATATTTCTACCTAAATTTTAAAATTGAATAAGTATTATAAATTAAATTATTATTATGGAGGAGTATTGTAATACTTACTTGGTATATTTTCATAATATGGTGATAAATTTGGGAATAAATGAAAGGTTTCTTTTAAATCCTTTGCAACTCTTAAAGGATCCCTATATGCTCTAATATAATTTAAATATGTATTCAAATTATGCATTTTACCATCAACAACACTATGTGTTGGTTGTGGCATTTGCTGTTGATAACCATGATAGCCATACATTTTATTCTATTAAACTTTTATTAATATATATCCTAAACTTTGCTGTTTTAAAATTTTTGGGAAGTTATTGAAAATTCTAAACTCCTATTAATTAACTATTTCGCTATTTTATTATAAACTATTATATTTCTATCCTTTTTTTTCTTTTTTTAAAATTTACTATATAACCTTTTAAATTATATAAATAAATTATAAAATTATATTATATTTTATTTAATAAACAAAAAAATAAAAAAAAAAAAATTAAAAAAAATAAAAAAAAAAAAAATATTATTTTTAAAAAATTTTAAAAAAAAATAAAAAAAAATAAAATTAAATTTTATTATTTTTTTAAGTTATACAAAAAAAAAAATTATAAAACTAGGTAGGTATTCAAAATAATAAATAAAATATCTTTTTCCCTTAATTTATATATATACACATATTCTCTCATTTTCTTTTTATTGGTCTTTCTATTTCCTCTTTACTTTTTTTTTTTTTTTTTTATAATAACAAAAAATAATAACAAAATTATAAAAAAAAAATTCTTTGAAAATTTGATTTTGCACCTTTTTTTTCAATTTAAGTTACTTTTTTTTTGTCACTTTTTTTACTTCAAGTTGATTATTAATTTATTTTTTAATATAAATACTAATAATTACTTTTGTTTTTTTTATAAACAATAAATAATAACTTATAATAATAAATAAAACTAGATATTAATAAATAGATCAATATGGAATTTTTTAAAAATATTCTTCCAAAGTTTCATAATTATAATGATGATTTGGGCAATAAAGATGTTACATATGAACCAGTTAAAGAGATTTTAGAAGGAGAATTCGAACATCCAACTACAACTATTAGAGGAGAACCAATAGATCCAAATAAACCAAAAAGAATATTTAGATATGCATCAGATATACACTTGGAGATGAGAAAATTTTTACAAGTTCCATCAATGGATGCATTAAAACCTCTATATCAATTTGAAAAAGAACCAAATACCAGATACTTTTTAGCACTCGTTGGTGATATTGGTAGTCCGTTTGTAAAGTCCCAAAACCTAAGAGAATTCTTTGAACTATGCTCGCAAGCATACGAATATGTTTTCTTTGTAATGGGTAACCATGAATACTACAACAATGGCTCCTTCACAATGGAAGAGGTTCACTCTGAGCTAAAGTCAATGTGTAGCGAATTTAACAATGTCATTTTATTAGAGAACGAGTCATTCCAATTGGACGAATATAAAATAGTTGGAACTACTCTATGGAGCAATGTTCAAATCAATCCTCAACACGTCGAAAGATGTCTCAATGACTATAGGCTAATTAAAACATACGATTTAGAGCATAATGACTCCAATGGTTTAAAAAGCAGAAGAATCAAAATAGAAGATACAAATAAATTGCACGAAATAGCCATTGATTTTTTAAAAAAAGAAATATTCGAAGACTCAAACCCCACCAAATCTCCATGCATAGTTTTAACCCATCATGCTCCGCAATTTAATGACCACAAAAGAGGTCTCTTCACATCCCATCCAAACTACACAGCCAATGATCCAATTGGTGAAGCTTTTTCTACAAATCTTTCAAACTTTTTGAAAAAACCTGTTGTAGCATATATCTTTGGTCACACCCATTTCTCCACCAGATACAAATATAATGGTGTTTCAATTTTAGCAAATCAATATGGTTACGAATTTGGCGAAGATTTACAATCAAATAAATTTAATCCCAATCGTTATTTTATTTTATAAATAAAACAAATAATTTTATTATTTTATAAAGAGTTTTTAATTAAATTTATTATTTTATAAATAGTTTTTTTATTTATTAATTTTTTTTTTTAAAGCTAATTTAACAACATGGAGGAATTATTTTTTTTTTTTTTTTAAAAAAAAAAAAATAGTAAATCTGAATGATTTATAATTTATCGTGGTGGTGTAAATGATTATTTTCAACAGCTTCTAAACTAGCAAGTTCCTTTTCTTTCTTTTCAAGTTTAGATGCGAGGGCAAAGTATTGATCTTTTGGGAAATTATATCTTCTAAAGAGTTTTTCTTGTCTCTTTGAAAAAAGTCTGTTATGTAAAGCTTCATAGGTAAATTCAGTTTTGGTAACAGCGAAATAAGTATAAGCAATAAGAACGCTTGCAAAAGTAACTTGATATGAGACTGGTTCTAAAATATTAAAATATAAAGAAATATTTTGTCAGTAAAAAAAGAAAAAAAATCAATTTTTTTAATATTTGATTATTTACCAATAACATCCCATGATAAATCCCACCATGTTAATCTAGCTAAAACTGCGGCTTGAGCAAAACAATAACCCAAACCCATCCAAATAAGACTAGTGGCTCTTCTTTGAGATTTTCTATCAATGATATCTTTTTTTTCTTGTAATGGTTGAATTTCTTTTTTTAATTCCGCAATATCGCTTTTTTTAAATTCAATTAATTTATGTAAACCAACACCTTTATTTTCAATATCTAAAACTCTAAAAAAATAGAAATCTGTTAATGCCTATAATTTATATATTTTGTTTTTGCTTTGTATATTATTATTTATTTTTTTGAAAACATACTGCTCTAATGATTGGTAAATATGTGATGGTTTTAAAAATACACTTGTTTTTAAATTTTCATTAACACTATTTGGTAAATAAATAATTGAACCAGTTTGGGAAAGTGCATTTGATACAGTTTTGATATCACTTTCATTGATACCAAAATCTTTGCAAATACCTTCAAATTCGGTAAAGGTGATTTTAGTTCTTGGGTCTAATGAAAGTCTTTCTTGTAATTTAGCGACCTTAGCTTGTTTTAAAATTTCGCTTAATTCATTTCCTAAAACTATAAATTTTATAATAGTTTTAATAAATTAAATTTAGGAAAAAATAAAAAAAAAAAACCAAAAATAAAAAAAAAAAATAATATTTACCTTGGGTGGAGTATGATCTTAAAAATGGTTTGGTAGTAATATTTCTACCAACTAAAAAAGTATTTCTAATTACAAAGTTCATTTTGTTTAAATAATGATAATAAAAAAAAATATAAAACTATAAAAAAAAAACAATTTGATCAAAAATAAAAATCAAAAATTTTTAAAAAAAAAAAAAAAATTTTAAAATAAAAAAAAAAGTTAGATTTTTTTGTGAACAAAGCTGTGCATACCTAACGAAAATAAATTAATTTGATCATTTTCTCTTAAATGATTGTTATTTGTGAATGGATGTGTAATAAAAAATATAAAATAAAAACATTATTAATTACATTGAAAAAAAAAATTTTAATAGAGAATTTTAAATTTTATCTCTATTTTTTAATTTAAATTTTATTTTAATTTTTTTTTTTTTTGGTTGATTTGATACTATCTATATATTTTTTATTGAATGAGATAATCTTGAGGAATTTGGTTATTGGCCTATAAAATAAAAAATGAATTAATATATATTTATATGTATTTTGTTTTTTAGCTATATCAAGTGCTTACCTTAAGATTACTAAATGTTTCTAATGCTTTATTTTTATCCCAACCTGACATATTTAGGCATTCTTTTGCGAATTCTGGTTTTAATTTAGTGTAGGCTGAAAATTCATTTATAATTGCTTCTTGTTCAGCGGAAGAGGGTTGAGATACTACTGGCTCGACTCTTGGAAGTCTAAGGTATGGTCTAACATTAAGCTGTTCATTTAAAACAATTGCTTCCCATCCACCTTTAGCGGCATCAGAACCTGGTGGTGCTGGTGCCAATACAAAGGTTCTATCGAAAGATCTCTTTATATTAAAGGTTGGTTCGAGGAAGTGACCATGTATAATAACAGTTAATAACTAAAAAGAAAAAAAAATTAATATATTTTTTAAAAAGGCAAAAAAAAAAAAATTTTATACTACATACTTGAGTTCCTGGAGCCAAAAATGAATCAATAATCGATGAAGACAAGGCATGTTGTGTTTTTGGATAGAGTTTGAAAAAATTATATATATTATCATATCCTGAAAATAATAATTGGGTTTTTTTAACTAAATAAAATTGAATTAGTATTGATATAAAACAATATTGTTTTTGGTTTTATTTTAAACTTACCAGCATCCATTGGCTTCTTAAAATTTCTATTTGATCTTTGGTAGACTTTATTTGAACCTCTCATTGGGAGAGACCCACTATCAGCTACATAGGTCATCGAGAATTTGGATTCATCAGTATAAGCTTTAATGATATCCTCTCTAGTACCATCAAATATTTTGAAAAATCTCTCCAAAAATTTATATGCGAATTGTTGTCTATCCGGACTATCGCAATAATTTGGTCTTAATGGAGGAATTGGACTTGGAGGGAAATCCTCTGGACCAATTTCCTTACCATCTAAAAATTTTAAATCTGGGAATTTTCTTGCTACTTCCCTATAAAAACAAATAAAGTGTTATTAAATATTTAATTTGATTTATTTATTTTATTTAGTTTTTTTACTTACATTCTATAATTAGGTATTTGACAAATTGGATTATTTGTAAAAACTAACTCTCTTAAAGTTAAATCTGATAAACAATCAAGTTCATTGATATCGCTAATTTTATTTGAATCGAAATTAAAATTGATAACATGATCCAACGAATATTTAATCATAAATCTAAATGGAGCTAAAGTTGTAATATTATTATGCGAAAATGAAACTGTATTTGCCTATATTAAAAAACATAAAAAAAAAGTTAATTTAAAATTAAAAAAAAATGTTAGTAGAATCGAAAAAATAACAACCACAAAAAAAAAACAATTTATAAAAATAATTATTATTATAAATTATTAGATTGATAATTGGTTATAAAAATTATATGAATAAAAAATAAAAAAGTGAATTAATATTTGACTTATTATAGTATATTGATATTATTATATTATTATATTATTATTATTAATATTATTATTCTCTAACTATATATCTGGTGGTTGTTAGGTTTATTTAAAAACCCAAGTGAGTAGTTATGTTTTACAAACAAAAAAAAAAAAATGTAAAAAAAAACTAAATAATCTAGATTTGAGCTTTGTTGGAAACCTATAAATAATATGTGATTAATTTTTGATTATTTGCTTGGAGAAGTTGATATAAAAAAACGAAAACATGAGAATACAATAGCCACTTCTTGGGTTCCTAAAACCTTAACCAGTATAAGCCAACTATACAAATGAATGGTTGATTCATTAACCAATTTGGTGTTATATAAAGCTATTATTATATAACACAACACACAATATAGCATGGGTTGGTGGTACATATGTGTGTGAAAATGATTCTGTTCCATATTGCTTTGATGGTAATAATAATAATAATAACTAGGTTTGAACTATTTTATAATATATAAATGGTGAAAGATTATTATTATTATATACCTTTAAACATTTTTCTGAAATAACACGGAAAATTTGTCTGAATGTTTTAATGTCGTTAAAATTAATATCTTTGGTGGAGTGAAGATATGAAAAATCGACAACTTCTTGATTTGCATTGTCTACATAAGAGGAATTAACGTGGTCTTCAATACTCTTTAATTGTTTTGTGTTTGAAATTTTATCGGTATTATTTGTAAACGTTCTAATTTGGCCTCTTTGGGTTGGTTTGTTTTGTCTGTTTTGTCTAACAGAGTTTTTATCTTCTTGTGAAATCGAAACTTTAACACCACCATATCTTATTCCACTTAAACCAATAAGTGAAGGAATATCCTCTGTATTTTCTACACCCAAAAATAAATTACCATTTCTAAATTCATACTATGGTTATTTATATTTAAACAATATTAGTATTTCGTTTTATAATAAAAAAAGATATTTATATATTTTTACTTACACCTTTAAAATTGATACCTGGTTTAAATGATTTAAGTTTAAGATACTCCATAAGATCATTTCTATCTACAGTTTTTGGTAAACCACTAATACAAATTCTTGAATATTCATCAGACATTGAATCAGAGGTGTTTCTATTAGTTACAACTTGAAATCTATTTCTAGTGGCTGCTTGTCTAGCACCACCTCCACCACCTCTTGGTCTACCGCCACCTCCACCACCACCTCTAACAATTCTAACACCACGTTTTTTATTTCCTGACATTTATTATAAAATATCTATTTTGTTTAAAAATATTGGATTATTTTTATTTATTAATTTATTTATTGTGGAATATATATAGTATTTTATATAGTTATATATTTTAGATTAGAATATAAAAATTAAATAGCTTAAAAATAAATAAATAAAAAATGAGTAATTAAGAACGAAAATAAAATAAATAAAAAAAAAAAAATTAAAAAAATTTTATTTTTTGAAAAAAAAATTAAAATAAAAAATAAAAATAAAAAAAAAATAAAATAAAAATAAAATAAATTTCTATTATAAAATTTTTTTGAATAATAATATTTTTATCTATTTCTTTTATAACAAAGAAAAAATAACAAATTAGACCTCAATCAATTTTATAACTATAACTTTAAAAGAAGTTATATATATAAAAAGGATTTTTTCTGAAAAAAAAAAAAAAAAAAAAAAAAAAAAAAAAAAAAAAAAAAAAAAACCCCCCCCCTTTTTTTTTTTTAAAAAAAAAAAAAAATTTTGGAAAAAAAGAAAACCAAAATTAAAAATTTTTTTTTTTTTTTTTTTTCAAGGGGGGGCCACCCTGGAAAAAAAACGGTAAGGCGAATTTCCGTTTTTAAAAATTTCCCTTTTTTTTTTTTTTTTTTTTTTCCCCC